GCCCGCGTACCTGTCCTGCCCGGTCAGGGAAGCGCCGCCCTCTCCCATGATATTTACTTTTGGAGAAGATTTCTATTCATTGAATAGGACTGGCATCATGCCACTTTGGCTCTTAAAAAAGGACACACGACTAGAAGTATTTAACTAAAGGAAGGAAAGGATGAAGGAAGGAAGAGGAAAAGAAGAGAGAGACAGGAAGAGAAGAAAGGAACCAAAGAGAATTTGCACCCCTGTGACAAGTTCGAGGGACCCAAACAAAATCATTAGAGCTCTTTCTCTCACTGCATGTCTGGACTCTGTTTCTACTTGGTTTCATTCTTCACACAAGATTTCTTCAATATGATATATCAGAAAAAACCCCTAGCTTAACCATGCTGATGACTACAGCTCACCTTATAGAAAAGTCTCAGGGAAGATTCTTATTGGTCTAAACAAACAAAAGAAACCAATCTTGTTGCTATAGAATTGCCATTGAGTCATACTGACCCTACAGGACTGCCCCATACAGTTTCTAAAGCTGGAATCTTTATGAAATCAGACTGCCATATCTTTCACCTGAGGAATTGACTAGTGGGTTTGAACCACTGACCTTTTGGTTGGTAACTGAGCACTTAAGCACTGTGCCACAAATGCTCCTCTGATTGGCACAGATTGATTATTTCTGAACGAATCACTGTATTTGGAGTACAGTGATAAGATTGGCCTAGCTTGGCTCTTAAGCCTACCCCTGTGGTAGTGAATGAGGTGTTGGTGGGCCAGGAACAGGATTCAGGATGGAGATCCCTAAGGCAGACAAAATTTCTGTGACCTCCTTGGCCCACCTCACTTTCAAGTGTTGTGTTTGGTCAAGTTGGGATGGGAAGAGGGAATGCTTGCAGTCACAATTACTCAGCACACGCTTATTCATCAATAACTATCTTTGAGTACCTACTCTCATCCAGGCTCTGTGCTAGGCTTTGGCATCCAGCATTAAATAAAGCAGACAAATCCTGCCATTGAAAAGTCTATAGCCTTGTGGGGAAAAGCACAGAAAATGATTAAATAAATACGTAAAATGATCCTGTCATTTCCAACTTACAGCGTCCTGGTGTAGGGTTTCCAAGGAGTGGCTGGTAGGTTTGGCCTGCCAACTTTGCAGCTAGCATTCTAGTGCTTATCCTATAGCACCATACCAGGACTCCAAAGTAGGGATAGAATGCCAGAGATGTACTATAAAGAAAATTAAAGCAGGGTAGAGGGTAGGGAATGCAAGAGTGAGTTGGGTTGAAGTTTTACATAGGATATTTGATTAAAGCCAAATGGAGGCCAGTGAGAGAGTCACCCAGAGTGGGAGTGGGAAATAGGGAAGCGCAGGCAGGAGGAACAGAGAGGAACAGAAGGAACAAAAGGCCCTGAGGAGGAGAATGCCTGATAGTTCAAAGAACAGTGGATGGAGCAGAGACAGGAGTGGAGTTCAAAGAGGTAGCATAGCACCAGCTCCATCATCAAGGTCCACCATGGACCACTGTGATGTGGGGCTTGTTCCCTGAGGGAGAGCAATGCTCTGGGGGCTCACGTGGTGTGTCTGAGGCTCTCATTTTCTTGTTACTGTTTCCTCTCTCAGGTGATGATAGTAACTTTAGAGGAAAGATAATATATAAGTTTTCTTTCATTCATTCATTCATTCAGCAAACACTTGTTGAGTACCTACTACATGACAGGTTCAGCTCAGAGATGAGAAAAGAAAGAGAAGTAAGCACACATTTCAGAGCAGTGTAATATGTGCCCCTGCCTAATGTATTATAAGAATTTCACAAAGCACCCACGATGTCCTGACCCCCTTCAGAAAACAGCAACACTTAGTCCCATCCAGTGGCTGTGTGTGGCTCCAAGCCCAGGATCTCGAGCCTCAGACTGGTCCAGATATAGTACTGCAGCCTGGAGCCAAATAATGCATTTGTGCCACAACAAGTGCTTAGTAAGCACTGTTGATGGGAAAACAGGATCCCAGCAGTATAATTCCCCTCTAGAGAAGGGAAGAAGGGAAGCAACATCCTCTAGTCACCAGTCCTGAGTGCATGTGACTTCTTTTGGCCAAGAGAAACCAAGACTCTAGCTCCAGCCAGTGATGGAGTGGGTAGGGTTTATGGCCCACCCTCCCAGTTGCCTGTGCTTTCAGGTTGGAGGAATCTTCTCCAGGGTCCTTCATGGCCATGCCTGGGGTAGGATTGAGAAGAACATGGTTCCTCCATATTGTTCAGTACACAGCACCTAGATTTTCAAATAAGTATTTGTGAATTTAATACTAATGGTCTGCCTACAGGACACCAGTTATATGTGCACAGGGCACAGACATGCTGTGGAGCATGGGGGAGGCCATCAAAGATGACCCCTGAATTTGTGTCTTAGAAGGCCAGGACAATGGATGTGTTCTCCTCTACAACAGGGGGCACAAGAGAAACAGCTATGTTTGGTGGAAAATGAGGAGCTACATTTGAGTTGTTAAGTATGAGATGCCCATGGGACACTCAAAGACTTGAGAGTTCCGAGATCAAAGAACAAAGCTAAAGGGAAAAGGAGAGTTTGAGAGCTGGAAAGAAATGAGTTGTGGTCTTGATGAGTGAAGTGGAGCTTGGGTATCAGGTAGAATGGTAGAATGGCTCTGGGTTGTGGCTGGAGTGAGGTCAGGGAGGGACTGAGTAGAAAGTAAGTGCCTGGCATTGCTAAGGTCATGGAATTGCTGTGATCCACACCCTACCCTTCTCCACTTTGCCCTCCCTGGGTTGACTGAGGGCCAACAAATGTTTCTATTCCAAATCCCAAGGACTGTTGAGTCAATATGAAAGAAGAGTTGAGATCTCTGGGAGGAAGTGATTTCTGATGTTCCCATGGCACTTGTCTTCAGCAGTTGTCTCACAGGTGAAGAGTTTAATTCCAAGCCCTGGTTCCACTTTAAAGGTGGGTTGAGCCATGGGAGGAAGCAACAGAGTTTTCCTAACTGTGTCTTTGAGAATTTCTAATTCAGTTCTGAGGTCTTGGAAGGAACTTCTCTAGGGAAACTTGGCTGAGCAGACCTCTTCTAGAACATTCTATTTGACCCTAAGGAAGTTTTGTATGGAAGGCAGCAGACTTGGGAACAGTCTTGTAAACATCCCTTAAATTTCCCAGCATATAGGAGGTGAGGCTCTTAGCAGAGCTTTTTAGAATACATGAGTGAATGAATGGGTAAGTGAAGTGATGGAGTGAATTCAAGCATTCATTCATTTATGGTATTCATAAATAAATGTGCTCAGGAGGTCTTCAGAACTTATAATACAAGGGGACCCTGGTGATTAGTGCATGGTGGGTTCTCAAGAAATGTTTATTGGATGATAGGGTAAGTATGGAATGATGTTTAGAGGTTTCCTGAAGCCCGCAGAGTGGCCATAAGTCCTAAATGAATCAACATGGTTATTTCCCACAGTTGACTTGTAGGATAATTAAGTGATATACTCTCACTTTGGGAGCTTCAGAAAAATCATCCCTCTGCAGTTTTCCCCTATTTTAGCTCTTTAACCATCAACTGGAGGCTGCTTTCCATATCACTGGTTTGACACTTTCAACTGGGAGGAAGGTGGGGTGCAGAGTTAGCATCTACTTTTTTCTTGGATGCAAAGAATCTCTCTTTACCTCTTACTCTCAAGGTTGGTAGCTCAGATCCTTCTAGAAATCTGGGCTCAAGCCAGACCATTCTCCTTCTGTCCCCTCCCTCCATTCTTGCCTCCTCCTATCTTTCCTGATATGGATTTCAAGGCCATGGGGGACGCTGCCCCATCTGTTCAGTCCCTGGAACTGATGCCGAACATTAGAGCAATAGCCTAGCCATTGTCACCATTCTCAACAGACATACCTCGGCATCCGTGTCTAACATGGACCTGAGGAGCCCTCCCTCCCTGGTTCTGAGGACAGGGTGAAAGCCTTACAGAGTGGCAGCAGTTAAGGACATGATTGTGTCCTGGGACCTTCTGCATTTCTATCCAGTGACATTGGGAGCTGGGTTCTCAGAAGAACACAAAGGTGCTGGGCTGACTTCTTGGGACCAACCCTCTGGGGAGCAGGCTGGTGACAGAGTCCTCATGAAAGGGTTCTGTGAATGGGCAATCCAGACCCACCTCCCTGCTGCCTCTGCCGGCCCATAGCAGATGGAAGGATTGAAGTCAGGATGCAATCACAGTTGATGATATTTCATGGCCCTCTGGGGAAGATCCAGCCTGTGGTGTGGTTCGTAATGAGGTGTCAGGATTCAAGCACTCAACCATCCATTCATCTCCAATGTGTCCTTCCCCAGTGTGTCTCCTGGTGGGACTTTGGGAGTACAGGGTCGAGAGTGGCTAAGAAGGAGGGAGGCTGTCATCCTTTACTCCTCAGCACTTAGCACTGTGGACCCAGTGGGTCTGACATAGGATTGTTTCAGCTGCAAGCAAAAGTCCCCGAGAAGATACATCACTGTCTGTGCATGTGAGCTCTGGCAGCTCTGGCATTAGCATGTGAGTGCTTGCTTGTCCTCACAGGCAGTGAAGAGCTTGTCCAAGTGCTGGATCTTTTATTAATCAAGCACTGCCTATGTGCCTAGCCCAGGTTCATCCCTACAGGTAGCTGGTATTCTCTAGTCTGGTTTGTGGTCCCCTCAGGATACCTCATCTTGGGGGTCTGGTGCACCCACCAAGTCACCCTCTTCATATCCAGCAAGCAACATTGGTTAAGAGCGTGGTTCTTTGCTGGATTCATGATTTGAATCCAGACCCTGCAACTTACTAGCGTTTACCTTAGGCATTTTTTTCCAACCCATGTGAGCCTGTTTCCTCATCTGTATAATGGGGGGAATGGAATCTTTTCCTCACAGAATTACAGTAAGGTATAAGTGAGGTAAAGCAGAGACTCAGACCTGGTGGGTAGTAAGTATTTATCACATAGTGGCTACTTTATTTACCAGTCCTCTGGCCTCAGCTCCCCTCTGATGCTGACTTTTGTCTTAGGTGACAGGAACACCCTCAAGAGGCTTTGATGAGAAAGCATACCTTACAGCCAAGCAACTGAAAGCTGGAGAGGACCCCTACAGGCAGCATGCTTTCAACCAATTGGAGAGTGACAAGTTGAGCCCAGACCGGCCCATCCGGGACACCCGCCATTACAGGTATGGCCTCCATTGTGCCGATGGAGAAAGGAAGGTGGGGAAAGAGCCCATACTATTGAGTTTGCTGCCTTTCAGTCACATGCATTTAAGAAATAAACAAGAATCTAGTTGAGACATTCAAACCCTCACCCTCAATTGTTTTACCTAACTTTCTTTTATTGACTTTTTGAGGGTCTGACCAGGTTGAAAGCAGGCCTGTGAAGATCAAGGAAACCCTCCAGCACCTCAGTCTGGCAAGAGTGACCTGTTGTATGGTCAGAGGAGAGCCAGGTGTTTCAGGTGCCCTGCTGATGGGGCCTGAGGTGAAGAGGTTCCCCACCCCACCATGCAAACAGTGGGAAGCTGCGTGCTGCCCCCTCTAGCATCCCACCCTCTGGCCCCACCTCCTCAGGCCCTCCCAACAATGATGCTTCCTGGTCTTGTTCTAATGCTCCCAGTGTGGTGAGGTGGGACCAGGATCAAGGAAGTGTCCCAACTTGGGCAAGTCCTTAACCCTCCAAATAAGACTTCCTGATCTAGATTATGAGCCCTCAACCTCCAGGCTTTCTTCCTCCCACCATCACCTACAGAAAAGTCTGAGCTCCTTATCCTCAAATACAAGCCACCCCTTCCCATGGTCTGACCTAGACTGCCTCCCAGCCTCTTCTCACCTGCATGCCGTGCTCCACTTTCCTCCCTTCCACATGCTGTTCCCTCCGCCCAAACACACCACCACCAGCCCACTGGCATCCTTGAAGACTTGGCCAGTCTTCTCTTCTCCTAGGGAGGTTCCTTACTGACCTAGGCTGGGTTCAGGGCCTCCTCCGTGCTCTGCGCAAATACCTAGCAGAGCGCTTGGAACGGAGCCATCCTTGTGTCTGCAGTTCTTAGTGACCACCCTCCAGATTAAGTGGGTGGGCCTGCCACCTTCAGGGAGAGAATGGGCATCCCTCCTGCCCGGATACCAGATAATTAGGGAATTAGGAGCCCTGGTGGTCATTGCTGTGAGACTAGGCACCCAGGAAGTGTCTGGCTCTTCGGTTAGGTCCCCAAGATGATGGTGGAGATGCAGAGATCAGGATCCCCCACTGCGGCTTCTCCCCATTTCTAAGTTCCCTCTCCCACTGTCAAGTCTGCCCGCCTGCCCTCCTTAAGGACAGGCATTGGAAAGTATGGTTTCAAGTAGGCAGAAGGTTACCTTCCCCCACTCATGTCTCCCAGGAAGAGTTATTTTAAAGTCTCTCAGCATTTCTCCCCTGGGGAGGTCCCAGACTGGCGGGACTCCTGCCCTTCTGACCATCTGCTTTGCAGGGTAGGAAATGGGCCTGGGAATCTGGCTTTACGCTGCTGTCAGTGGAATAAATATCATAATGAAAACGTAGTCATTGCTGGAATGGCCAGAGAGCAGTTGTAATGAAGAAGATCACCACGAAAAGCAGCTGACCTGGGAGCACAGACAAATGTGTTCGCAGAAAGGCAGCAATGGATTGCTTTACTTCTCCTTCTTGAGAAGGGGAGACAGCAGGCCAGGAGCAGCATGGGAAGGAGCAAGGTAGTCTTTAGCAGCTGTTGGTTTGCTCCAGGAGACCCATGAAGAGTGAGGCTGGGCCCTGCCTGGTGTTCCCAGCTGGCTGCTTGTGTCTGTGCAGGGAGGGCACGGAACCTACTGGCAGGCAGGTGGGGAGGGCAATTCCTCTTCAGATCCTACCAAATGTCAGGAGAGATGGAGAGGAGACGGAGGAGGTCCAGAGTATCAGAAGACAAAGGAGGCTGTTTTCCCTCTGGGCCTGCATTTGGTCTCACTTGACCTGCTAGAACATTCACTCCATAGGGCAGAGAGTTTCGTCTGTTCAGTGCTGTCTCCAGGTCGAGTGCAGCGTCTGCACGTGGGAGGAATCCTGCTAACACGTAATGGATGTGGGACTCCAGATATTTTCGGTCTTTGGTAAAGAGCCCCTAGGCCTGGAAATGTCCCCCAATTTGCTGCCTCCCTGCAGCCTCCAGGCTGGGTCCTATGTGAGTGCTGAGCCTGAGTGGGCTGAGGGGAGGGGCAGAGGGGCTTCCTTTTCAGCTCCTCAGGGGCATTACAGGGAGGAGCAGGTAAAGGAAAGCTCACGCCTGCTCACACTGCTGGCCTATGACCTTGCCGCCCCCTCCCTCCCCACAGTTGCCCATCTGTGTCCTATTCGTTGGACCTGCCAGCCACTAGCATCATCATCACCTTTCACAATGAAGCCCGCTCCACCCTCCTGCGCACAGTGAAGAGGTAAGCACAGTCCCAGAAGCGTTGTTCCTCTGTGCTGAGGGAACCCACTGAGCCTCTGGCAGGGGTGGGCATTGAGATAGGAGACCATGGCCAAACAGCATGCAGGCCTGGGGAATCAGAGTCCAGGGCAAAGTCCTTGAAGTCCAAGAATTCACAAGATGCAGCACCTTCAGGGAGAGGATGGTCATCCCTCCTGCCCAGGTACCAGGTAACTAGGGATCAGAGCTGTCCAATACAGAGCGAGGGCAGAAATTCAGGGGCCTAAAGTGGGGGAAGGCAGCAGAGTGGACAGCAGACCTTAGGCAGGTGTGAATCAGACAGATTTCTTCTGGCTTTCTCTTGAGCTTGGCCCTGTGGTCAGTTTTCAACCCCACTCACCCTGTTTCCTCAATGAACATAGACAGAAATAGGATTTGGAAAGGAGTTCCCAGGGGCATTCCAGAAATTCAGGAAGCTTGGCTTTCCACTCCCAAGGACAGTGGAAGGGTATTCCTGAGAACAAACTTCAAGATCCATTAAAAAACAAACAGGAGAATAGGTGCTGCCAAGTCAATTCTGAACAGATTAGATTAGAGCTATGCTCCATAGGGTTTTTTGGTTTTGTTTTGGGTTACACATAATGTATTTAAGAAAATTTCACAAAAGATACATTTGTTTGCATTTGTTTATTCCTTTGCTTTTTATCATTGCCCGACTTTAGCTATTATTACTTAGATAATGTATTCATTTGATAAAGTAAACTTACTTAATATGGCTCTTCTAGCCATAGTTTTCACAACTACTACCAAATGTGTGTGGAATGATGCAAATAGTTTGTACAGTACTTTAACATGGGGATTCATTGGGGTTTTAAATAAGCCATCTCAAAAGCAGGACCAAGATCTCATGATCATCAAAAGACACAAGTCACAAGCAGAGTGAGTTTTTTGGACTGTGAGTTCCCTGTGCAGAGAGGCAATGGTAGCAGAGAAGGTAGAGACTGCAGAGGCAGCACCAGAGACAAGAGCACAGAGAAACAGAGTAGTGGTCTTCCTGGCCCACGGACTGAGAGAGGCTGAGTGTTTTAAGCAAGTGGCTGGCTTGTAGATTAAAGTGCCCTTTGGACAATTATGGACCCCGCTGTAGAACTGACTAGATGCCACTTAACAACAACAACAAAATAGGAATTTTGTTAACACTTGGCCAAGCAGGGTAGTGGCCAAAATGTTTTGTGGCTGAGAGGCATAGTTTAGAGAGAGCCATGCATGTAATCCTGGTTGAGTCAGTGGGGTTTAATGTGCTGGACTGCAAAGTCAGTTTGAACCTTAAGGCTGGTGGTTCAAGCTTACTAGCTGCTCTTTGGAGACCCTATACAGTGGAATCATGAATTGGAACTGACTTGATGGCACTTACCAACAACAAAAACAACAACATGCTTGTAGTACAGCTCAAAAGCCACTGTCCTGGCTGTAGAATTGCTATATCCTGAGTTGTTTCTGATCCTAAATTGTACCCTGCTAGAATTGATGCATTTGAATTATGGTGTTGGAGAAGAATATTAAAAGTACCATCAAGGGAGAAGAGCATGAGTGGAATGTGGGACTTTACCCAGGGAATCAGTGACATCAGAGATGGAGGCAGAGATGAGGTCATGGAGAGAGAGAGAGCAGCTGAGGACTCTAGACTCGTGGAAAGAGAAAGGCTGTGTGCTAGCTGCTAGGAGGCAGGCTTGTAGAATGTGCCCTTTTGTTGCTTAAATGATTATATATTCCTGAGAGCTTTTGTGTATATCAAAAAAAACAAAACAGAAGTAATAGAAGCAAATACTGTTGAATGATGATGCATGGAGGGGATTGCAATTATTGCAATGAAATGAAATAAGATAGGTTAAGTGCAAAACTGATGTTCTTATATGTAAAATACCACTCAAGTTACAATAAAACCTTCACACACAAAAAAAAATTGTACCATGGACTGCCACAAGAACAAACAAATCTGTTTTGGATGAGTATAGCCAGAATGCTCTTTAGAAGCCAGGATGGTGAGACATCATCTCTCAGACTCTCAAACATGTTATCAGAAATGACCAGTCCCTGGAGAAGGACATCATGTTTGGTAAAATGGATGGTCAGAGAAAAAGTGGAAGATCCCCCAATGAGATGGATTGTCACAACAGCAACAATTGTGAGGATGGTACAGGGCTGGGCAGTGTTTTGTTCTATTGTGTACTGGGTTGCCATGAGTTGGATCCAACTTGATGGCACCTAACAATAACATCTTTCCTAATAAACCCCATAGTCATGAGTATTGCCTGTACATTCTGTGTGGTCACTGCAATGAATAACCAATCTATAGGGTTTTTGATGACTGATCTTTTGGGAAGTAGATCACCAGGCCTTTCTTCCAGGGCACCTCTGGATTGACTCACACCTTTAACCTGAATTTCTGTGTGCACCACACAGGGATTCCTTTTGAACCATGAGGCCTCCCAGGCAGCCCATTCCAGGTCCAGCTAGGGGTTGTCCCTGGGCAGGGCTTGTTAAACTTCAGGCAGCTGGAGCAACTGCAGCTCCCATCTCCCCCAACTCAATTAGGCAGTCCTAGCCACACCCCTTCCCCAATCTGGGGTCAGTTCCAAGTGCCTGAGGGTGTACAAAAAGTGTTTGACGGGTCCCTGGCAGATCCTGAGGAACACACTGTTCTCAGTCACTGATCAGCTGCCCATGGGAATATGCCGGCCCCAGAACTGTGTAGTGGGAGAGATGAATGGGAAGTGACCCTTTAAGTCCAAGCTCCTTTCTGTCCCCACTGCTGCTCCAGTGTCCTGAACCGAACACCTGCCAACTTGATCCAGGAGATCATTTTAGTGGATGACTTCAGTTCAGATCGTAAGTATTCACCTTCCTTTTGCACAGCCCTCTTACCCACTATCTCCCCAAAACTCTAGGCAAGCACCCTTGGATTGTTCTGGCCACCACAGACTATGAATGTTTTCTCTCTCTTCCCTCAATCTAGATCCTCAGTCTTTTTGAGGTCCCCTCCCTTACCATTCTCCTCAGTGCTAAAGGAGGGCATAGAGTACTGTTGCTTTGGATGAGGCACCAATGAATAGACAATTTAAAGAAAAGAAACAGTAATAATAGCGTCCTGTGTTATCACAGCTGCCATACCAGATTGTCTCTTTAACCTTTCTCTTCAAGAGTTGAGCTGGCAATGGAGTTGCTGCTTGACGCCCCCTGCTGGGTAACATTATAGACACAGGCATTCCTCAGATGGTCTAGCCTGGAAGAAGGAGGCCAGCAGACATGACCATACCCCTCCATGCAACCCCTATTTCTGGCCCTTTCCCTGACCCTGTTATGGGGCAGTTCCATGACCCATATCTGAAGGAACTTTCTTTCTTTCTCCCTAACAACATCCCTAGCTGAAGATTGTCTGCTCCTGACCAGGATCCCCAAGGTCAAGTGCCTGCGCAATGACCGGAGGGAAGGTGAGTCCCTGGGTCCTGAGCTGCCCATGGACCATCTTGGTCCATTCCTGTGCACATCCCTACACCCTTTAATCATGACAAGACAGCAGAACCCTGCTGCATCTTTGATGGGCTGAGAGCAATGTCTACAGAAAGACATGCTGTTCCAGCCCCATCCTGGGACCACATAGGCAAGTTGCTCTTCTTCTGGATAACTTCCTTGTCTCTTCTGAGAAACAGAGATAATAATAATGCCCTTTGTGCCATGTAAGGTAACTGTGAGGACTGGATGGGATAGGCTTTGTGGAGATGCTTTGAGAAATGCAAAGGGCAGTACAATGTGGATATAACTGCATTTCCAATCAAGAAGTGCTTTGACACATCACCTGTGGTATAGTCCATAGGTGCCTGGCACTCTAGGGGACACAAAAGAAGTATAAAGTAGAGTCCCTGCCTTCGGAGAACTTATTATGCAGCCAAGGAGCCAGAATCCACCCAGCAACAGGCTGGCTATAGTTATGTGTGAGTAACATGGAGATTGCAGAAGAGGCGCTAAGGGAGAGCTGGGATGACCAGGAAGAACTTCTGGGAAGGAGGTAGGTCTTACTGGGGCTGAAGGCCATGGGACTGGCAAAAGGGAGCAAGGAAGGGTGTTCTAGTTTTGGGATGCTGCAAGCAAAGGCCTTGGTCAGGAATAAATAGATAAATGAACATTTCCAGTGTTGTATCTGTTTGTTGAGACATTTCAATTTGTATTTTGCCAATCCCTGGAGCCTTGTTTTTTGCCAAAGCCTTCAATGCAGCTTTGACTTTTTCCTTCAATACCATTGGTTCTTGATCATATACTACCTCTTGAAATGGTTAAACATCAACCAATTCTTTTTGATACAGAGACTGTGAATTCCTTTCATCTTCTATTGATGCTTCCTGCATCACTCAGTATTTTGACCATAAAATCTTTCAATATCGCAAGTAAAGGCTTGAACTTTTTCTACAGTTATTTCCACTTAAGAAATGCTGAGTGTGTTCTTCCCTTTTGGTTTTCTAACTCCAAGTCTTTGCACATTTCATTATAATACTTCACTTTGACTTCTCAATCTGCCCTTTGACATTTTCTGTTTGGTTCTGTTACTTTCTCATTTCTTCCAGTTGTGTTAGCTTCTCTGTACTCAAGAGCAAGTTTCAGAGTTCCTTCTGACATCCAGTTTTGTCTTCTTTTATTCTTTTTTTAAAATGACCTTTTGCTTTCTCATGTTGGATATTCTTTTTTTTTTTTTTAAGTTTTATTATGAATTATGTGATAATTTACATGGGAGAACATGAGTTTTACATTCATCCTATTGTATATCATTTCATTGCCATGGTTACAATTCCCTCCATGCATCATCGACCAACTGCAGGATATACCCTGCAAGCCTACCCCCAACCCTGGTCGTCAGCACACAGCCCCTCTTCCTCTCTGGGTCTTCCTCTCTCCACGTCTCTGCTTCCATCTCTGGCATCACTGCTTCTCTGGGTAGGGTCCCGCTCTCCGCTCCTTTCTCTTCATGGTCCCAGGGACCTCCGCTCCTAGACTGCAAAGTTAATCACACACCTCCTTCCTACAAAACATCTATCTTTACATTTCCAACCCTCACAATCTGTCCTGATAGCAATTATTCACTATTGTATCACAAGAGACCTATCTGCATCTCCTTTCATCAGCCCCACCTAGACAGCTTGGTTACTACTCTCTGGAGAATCTACCTCCCTCCACGCACTCTGGATCCAAGCTCCCTCTTGAAAGCTTGTAAGCCAGTCACTTCTTGCCTTTGTAGCCCCCCCCCCCCCATTTTGGGTAGCCCATGTCCAAGTTGCCCATCCCTATCTACTCTGTATGGAGGGATTGGGAATGAGCCTTGCTGTAAAGATTTGTTCCCTCTTTTGAGCTACGGCATCCATAGGTGTAAGTCAAGTTCATCCAATTGTATCCGATTACTCTTCCCACCCCCCTTCGTTCTTCTTCTAATTGAGTTCTGATCATCCAGTCATTGAAGCCAGGTCAAGTGGGGATTATCATGTTGGATATTCTTGATGTCATTCCACAACTCTTTTGGTTTTTGACCATTAATGCCTAATACATCAAATCTGTTCTTGAGATTGTCTCTAAATTTTAGTGGGATATACATAAGGTCATATTTTGGTTCTTTTGGACTTGTTTTAATTTTTTTCAGCTTCAGCCTGAGCTTACATATGAGTAGTTGATGGTCTGTTCCACAGTCTGCCCCTGACCTTATTTTAGCTGATGATATGGAGCTTTTTCATGGTGCTTTCCACAGATGTAGTCAATTTTATTCCTGCATATTCCATCTGGTGAAATCCATGTGTACAGTCATCTTTTATGTTGTTTTAAAAGGTGTTTGCAATGAAGAAGTCGTTGTTGTTGTTAAGTGCCATCAAGTCAGTTCTGACTCATAGGAACCCTTTATAGGGTTTCTGAGGAGCAGCTGGTGGGTTTGAACTGCTGACCTTGTGGTTTGTAGTCCCGTGTTGATCTTACAGTGCCACACCAGAAGTCCAATAAGTCATTGTTGTTGTTGTTGTTGTTGTTGTTGTTGTCAAGTGGCATCAAGTCAGTTCTGACTCATAGTGACCCCATATAGGGTTTCCAAGGAGCAGCTGGTGAGTTTGACCTGCCAATCTTGTGGTTCAAACTGAACTTGCAGTCCAGTGCATTAACCCACAGGGCTATACCAGGACTTCAATAAGTCATTGTTGTTGTGGTTGTTAAGTGCCGTCGAGTCGGTCCCAACCCACAGTGACCCGGCATATGGTTTCCAAGGAGCGGCTGATGAGTTTGAACTGCCAAATTTGTGGTTCAAACCGACTTTGCAGTCCAGCGCATTAGGCCACAGCACCACACCAGAACTCCTAATAAGTCTTGCAAAATTCTTTCATGTGATTTCCAGGATCATTTCTAGTTTCTGATCTCTTTGGTTCCAACTTTTGCTTTGCAATCACCTGTAATTATCAATACATCTTGATCAATTTCAGACAGAAGAAGTTGGTAGAATTCTTCAGTTCCCTCATCCCTGGAATTAATGGTTAGTGTGTAAATTTGAATAATACTAATATTAACTGGTCTTGCTTGTAGTCATATTATCCTATTACATTGTATTACATTACTTCAAGATAGATCTTGAAGTGCCCTTTTTCATGATGAATGTGATGCCATTCCTCATCAAGTTTTCTTCCTGATAAAGTAAACTATATAATTATATGATTCAAAATGACCACTACTAATCCATTTCAGCCAAGTAATGCTTGGGACAGCAATCTTAACGCATTCCAATTCATTTTTTAAGTACTTCGAATTTTCCTAGATTCATGCTTTGTGTATTCCACGTTCTGATTATTAATCAATTTTTTAAAAAGCTTTTATTGTGAATTGAATGATAGTTTACTTGGCAGAACATCGGTTTTGCACTTAACCAATCGTATTTTGTTCATTACAATGACAACTTTTCTGTCTCTCCATGCCATCACCTCTGCCTTCATTTGGTGTTGCTGCTTCTCTGGTTAAGATTCCACAGTCCGCTCATGCTCTTTCCTCTTGATGGTCCTAGGGTCCTCTGTTCCTGGAATGCAAGAATAATGACTCCCCCCATTTTTGTTATGCATCTTCTACCTTTACAGTTGTGACAATTGCAATTAGTCATGATAACAATGACTTACTGCTGAATCAAAAATATCCTATCCATATCTCCTTTCACCAGACCTGTCTAAATAAGATGAAAACTATTCAGTGAAGATAATACCCTCACCCTCTCACTCTGAAATGAAATTTACTCTTGAAAACTTGTAAGTCAGCCGCTTCATGCCTTTATAACCCCTTCATTTTAAGTAGCCAGTGTCTAAATTGCCTGTCCCTACCAACCCTGTGTAGGAGTTCTGGTGTGTTGCTGTGAATTAATGCGCCATACTGCAAAGCTGTTTGAATTGCAAGGTTAGCAGTTAAAGCTCACCAGCTGCTCCTTGAAAACCCTATACAGGGTCACTATGGGCCGGAACCGACTCAACGGCACTTAACAACAACAATGAACAACCAACCCTGTGTACTGAGGGGATAGGCTTGATCCTTATTAACGGATGTTTGCAGCTGTTTCTTCCCATTTTGAGTTGTGCCCCATCAGCAACTGAAGGTCCTGAAAGCTGTACTCCATTTTCATCATTAAGGTCAACTCTACTTTGAGGAAGCAGCTCTTCCCCAGGCATATTTTAATTCCTTCCAACCTGAGGGATTCCTAGTTTGCTTATTTCATCTCTTTATATCTCAAAAGTTGACTCACTTCACCCTACACTAATCCTGCTCCAAACAAACAATCCTAAATGGGATTATAACCACAAGCATAGAGATTAGGCTTTATAGTACATTTTGTGGGGGTGGGGAGGTGGAGGCAGTGTGGCAATAGTTCAATCTATAATAAGTATCAAACCACACTTTACAGCAGTTTCTATTCATTAAGCTATGACAGTTCATTGATGTGTCCCTAGAGCCTAGAACAGTGTCTGGCATGGGGTGGGTACTCAAGGAATGACCCTGGAATAATGAAAGGCTGATGGATGGATGGGCAGAGTAAAGGGAGGGAAGGCAGCAAACAGAAGGGCAAGTACAATTCAGTCACAGTAGCTCAGAGGCAGCCTCAGTTCAAGGAGTGTGGTGGGAAGCAAGTTGGCACCAGTTCTCCCCTCCCTCCCAGCACCAATGCCTGTCCACTCTCACTGCAGGGCTTATCCGGTCACGGGTTCGAGGGGCAGACGTGGCCACTGCTGCTGTCCTTACCTTTCTGGACAGCCACTGTGAAGTGAACACTGAGTGGCTGCAGCCCATGCTGCAGCGGGTGAAGGAGGTAAGTCCTACTGTCCTTCAGGGAGACGAGTGTCCTTTAGGAAGTTTCCCACCATGCTTCTGGCATACAGAATGAACTTTGGAGTCAGAGGAGCCATGTTTGAAGCCTAACTTTTTTGCTAAAAACTGAGTGACTTTACTTCATAGAATTTTTCCTCTCTGAAAATGGGAATAATTGTAGTTTTTGCCTCACTGGTGTTTGTGAGAATGAAATTGATGAACACCTGGGTGAGCTCTAAAACCCCCTACAGGGCCTGGGTGGTGGTTTTCTCCTGGGGGATGTGGGAGTCCTGAGTTGGGGGAGCTTTCACCGAAACCCCAAGAAAGAGAGAGAATAGGCAGCTGTTTTCAAATAGCAGAGAGGGCAGGGGGTCCTACCATGTGTCTCCATTTTCTGAAATGGGAAGGATTTGGCAATTACAACTCAAAAAACTCCATTTTAAAATGGGCAAAGAATTTTAATAGACATTTCTCCAAGGAAGATATATACAAATGGCCAATTAGCCACACAAAAAGATGCTCAATGTCACTAGTCAATAGGGAAATGCAGAGACCACTTCATACCCTCTGTTGTTGTTGCTATTGTTAGGTGCTATCCAGTTGGTACTGACTCACCTTTAAAGGGTTTCTGAGGAGCAGCTGGTGGGTTTGAACTGCTGACCTTGTGGTTCAAACTGGCCTTGCTGGCTAGTAGTTTATCCTACAGCACCATATGGACAATACACTTAAGATTGATGAAAACAGCAAAATTTGTGTGATATATATTTTACCACAAAAAATAAATAAATAAAAAGATGGACAATAATGAGTGTTAATGAGGATCTAGAGAAACAGGAACGCTAATGCACTATTGATCGGTTTGAACTGCTGACCTTGTGGCTAGCAATTAAACTGTAGCCCCACCAAGCCTCCTTTAAAAGCATTGTAAGTGGAAGAGACAAACAACACTGTGAAAGCCAATCCATGCTGTATGATTCCATTTATATGAAGTGTCCAGAATAGGCAAATTCATAGAGATTTGTAGATTCTAAGTTTTAAAAAGTAGATGAGTGTTTTTCAGTGGGTGAGGATGAGGCATGGCTGCTGATGGGTGTGATGTTTCTTATTGGAAATATTCTGGAATTAGAGAGTGGTGATCCTTTTACAAACTTGTGAATACACTAAACACCAGTGGGCTGTGTATGTGAAATGATGCATTTTATAATATGTGAATTATATCTCAGTTTTTAAAAATGCCTGTGAAAAGGATGCAGAGAGCTTCCCCCTACCCCACCCCACCCCAGCACTGTGAGGAATGCAAATGGTCTCTCGTGATCAGTCACCCCCAAGGGTTTCATTGTCCTGCAAGGGTGTGCGAGCTAAGGAAAAGAACTGAATTCCAAGTTTCAGACCAGAAGATTTATGTCAGCATGTGAGGAAGAGAAGAGGCTGTCTTCTGTGTTCCTCCGTGAAGGTAGAGAGAAGAGAGGGCTAATGAAACGGGGATGATGCTTTGCTGTGTAGTATCACACTCACACAAGAAAAGAAACCTTTAGTGAAATGGACATTACTCCTCAATATTTTGGAGCTGGATTTGTGTCCTGAGGGGTGATGAAGTCCGACCTTGAAGTGAATGTGACAGAGTCATCATACCCAGGTAACACAGAGACCTCAGGGTCCCTGCCCTCAAGCTGATGGTGGTCCAGCTGGGAAGACTCACCCCGCACCTATAGGAAGATAAATGGCAATCAATAAACCATAGTTCAAAGTATTACATGTCTCAGCAATGATCTAAGCTATAATTGTGAGAGCAGTTTAAAGGAAGGAGAAATTCCTTCCACCTGCAGTAATCAAGAGGGCTTCACTGAGGAGGTGAGATCCCAGCAGGGCTCAGAACCATGGCAGAGAAAGAGGCTGGGAGAGCATGTGTACCCGGGACCTCTAAGGAGCCTGTGTGTGGTGGTGCAGCACAGCTCCTAGGACTCTGCCAGGGTTCTGGTTTGGCCTGAGGCACATCCTGCAGGAAGCATCAAGGCCCCAGGTCTCAGAGAGGGCAGGTGGTTGGGTCTTTCTTCACAGAGAAGCCTCTGACTTCACATCACCTTGTGTCTCCTCTCCTAGGACCACACCCGCGTGGTGAGCCCCATCATTGACGTCATCAGTCTGGATAATTTTGCCTACCTTGCAGCGTCTGCTGACCTTAGAGGAGGTGGGTCTTGTTCTCTGGGGAGGGGCTGGTGAGAGCAGACAAAGGACCTGGCTTGGTGCTCTTTGTACCAGCTATCCAGAGAGCTTCCTGTATGCCTTCCCTCCAAGGAGAAAGTGAAGGAGACTTGAGTAGAGCCTTGGGATGGGGACAAAGACTAGAGCTGGCACTTATAAACTCCTGATGCCATTAAAGGGCTGGGCTCCAATCCTTGTCCCAACATTAATACATCCTTCTCAAATACTGCCAGCGCAGGGACCATGGCCCCACAAATCCCTGCAGAAGGGCATGATGTCATAGTTGTCCTGGTGGTGCAAGAGGGGGAGCCTCTAGACATAACAGCCTCACTGTCCCCAAAAATGGACAATAGCCACATTTGGTTATTTAAATTTAAACTAATTAAAATGGAAATCAATTTTAAAATATAGCTGCCAAGTAACACTAGCCACATTTCAGAGCTCTGTAGCTAAATAAGGTTGTTATTGTTCAACTCCTCGTGACCCCATGTGACAGAGTAGAACTACCTAAGTGTCTTTTTAAGCTGTAATCCTAAAATGGATGGGAGAAGATTGCCAGATTTTTCTCTCTTGGAGCTGCTGAGTGAGTTCGAACCACCAACCTTTCAGTTAGCAGCTAAGTGCTTAACTGTCATACCACCTAGTCTCCTCATTAAATAAGGCTTGTTGTGAAGTGCTGTCGAGTCATAGCACCCTGTATAGCATTTCCAAGGAGTAACTGGTGGGTTTGAACTGCTGACCTTTAGACTAACTTTGCGGATAGCAGCCCAGTGCTTATCCTACAGCGCCACACCAGGAGCCTCGAATAAGTCTAGTGGCTACCATATTGAGCAGCATGGATATAGAACATTTCTATTATAGAGGAAAGTTCTTGGAAAGAGCTGCCCTAGAGAATTCGCTGCTAGAAGCTAGTGGATGCAGTGGGTTTCCCATTTGGAACCTGGACTCCTAAAAACTGCACAGAGACATTAGTTAGATCCTTTGGGTGGGATTCCGAAGGGAGCCAGGCATTTCCCCTTTGGGAAAGTACTGCAGGGCCTTTGCACCAACTGGACTTCCATTTCTCCAGGTCTCTATGGAGTCATCCTTCATTCTGATCTCTGCTCTAACTTCAGAGACTTTTCTGACAACTCTTTCTATTTATTTTTTAGTACTTATTACCCGTGACTGACATATTATCCATTTAATTATTTTTCTGTTTCAGCCTTGCCTATTAGATTGTAAACTCCATGAGGGTAGGCACTTGTCTCATCTGAAAAAAGGAGTGGAAGCATGGAGAGCCCAGGGCCCTCTGCGAGCCAGGACTCTCATCCAGAGAGAGTGAGGGGTGGCAGAGGGAGAGGAGTCAACAGCCCAGTGGGCCCTGCCATGACCCTCACCCTCAACTTGCTCTGTCCCTTAGGGTTCGACTGGAGCCTACATTTCAAGTGGGAACAGATCCCTCTTGAGCAGAAGATGAGCCGGACAGATCCCACCAGGCCCATAAGGTCAGGGTTGCTGTGGACACTTCTTTCCCTGGGTCAGAGACTTGGGTGGTTCCTGGGAGGCCATATCAGACGCCTGAGACTCCTGAGGGTGCACAGTCTAAACACCAACTCTGCTCTGGGCCCTTGAGTCTTGTCTCCAGGAACAGAGAGGACAAAGACCATGGGAACAGCTTTGAGGGGCCAGGAAGCTTACCAGATATCCTGCTCCAAGGATGCTGCAAGCAGAAGATTCTGGGGGAAACAGCCTTGGTTCCTAGGACCGTCTAAAGGGGCTCCTTGTTCCTCTCCTACTTCTAGGACACCAGTCATAGCTGGAGGAATCTTTGTAATCGACAAGTCCTGGTTTAACCACTTGGGAAAGTATGATGCCCAGATGGACATCTGGGGAGGAGAAAATTTTGGTAAGTTGGGAAATAATGCAGTAATAATATAGACTGGGAAAGCAAGAACCTTTGTAAGGTGGAAAGCTGTCAACAAAGGAAAATAAATAGTCTCCACTAAATTGAACAATAGGAAAGTGGGAACACTGTACCCTCTCAACAGTGGAAACTTGTGAGACCAGAAAAATAAGGCAGCTCCATCGAGTATCAGCTCTACTGTAATAATAATCAGTAATCCTGATTTCATTTATAGGAGACTCTCTTCTGAGGGATTTACACATATTAACTCATGTAATCCTCACAATGACCCTAATGTAAGTGCTATTATTATAAATACTATTATTTTAAGTATGAAGCATGTTGTCTCTGTAGGATAAGCAATGAACTGCAAATCACCAGGTCAGTGGTTCAAATCCACCAACTGATCTGCTGGAGAAAGATGAGGCTTTCTGCTCCTTCCAAGGTTTACAACCTCAGAAATCCTATATACTTATTACCAGCGCAGTGACACTTAACAACAGTTATTATATGTAAGTACTATTACTATCTCCGAGTCCTAGTGTGGCACTGTAGAATAAGCACTGGACTGCTAACCACTGCTCCTTGGAAACCGTATATTGGGTTTCTGTAAGTTGGAACAGACTCAATGGCAGTTAACAACAACATTATTATTTCCATTTTACAGATAAAGAAAGTGAGGCACAGAGACTCGGTTAAGTCATTTGTCCAAAGACACATAGCTAGTAAGCCACGGGACTTATTAAGTGCTCGAGGGAATGTGTGGGCAGAGGTGTGTGGAAGAACACATAGACTATAACATGGACTGCAGATTAAACATGTGATTGCTCCCCTTGCCACATCTGCTTATTAGCAGAAAGCCTGGGAAGTGGGCAGTAAGTGTTGATGTAAGCAATGGGGTCACATGGCCTGAGTACAGATCTGGACCCCACTCACCATCTAACAGCTGTTTGGCCCTGGGCAAAATAAGTCTCCTAAGCCTCAATTTGCTTGTTGTTGTTAAGTGCCATTGAGTAGGTTTGGACTCTTAGCAACTCTGTCTAGGGTTTTCAAGGAGCGGCTGGTGGGTTTGAACCACCAACCTTGAGGTTCAAATCAATCTTGCGGTCTAGTGCATTAGCCTGCAGTGCCACACCAGGACTCCAAATGAGATCATGGCTGGTGGCTATTCCCACTAGTCACGATGTTGTAAGGAACTCTGGAGACCCAGCAGGAGATGGGGACAGAGAAGGGACCTGGAGAAGGTGGAGATGGGTTTACTGCCCCTGACACACTGACTTTTCAGCATGTCACCCCAGGGCCACATGCAGTGTGGAAAGGTTCTGGGAAGCCAGGCAACCTTTTGGGATAGATTTCATTTGCAACGTGGGAAGGAAAGAGCATGTCTCTCCCATGGTTGCTGGTGAGGGTCTGATTCAGTGGGGTGTGTATGCCCAGGGTTCTGGCCCGGCCCTCTGAGGAGGGTTGATATGATAAGAACAGGGTATGGGGAACCACAAGAGACAGCATGTTATGGACGGTGACAGCTGAGAAGTGTAGCCACCCCCTAAGTCTGGAGCTTTGTGGCGAGATCCCTGACAGGAACCCTCATGCCCAATCTGTCTGTGACACCAGGTACAGGTGCCAAGGGGATAAACACTGCCCCTTACTCTGCTTCCCCTCTCACCTCCTACTGGCTGAACCTGTCACTCTGAGGGAAGGAACCCAGTGGTGTTGCTCCCCAGCAGTTCTCCAGGTGCAGAGCAAGGTGGAGAAGGCTGGAGAGTGGGCTGGGAAGATTCTTTGTGGCCTGTTCTTGCTCGCGAAGGACCCCTGCTTTCCCAGTTTCCTTTTTCATCCTGCCTGGCTTCCTTGTGAAAGGAGATCTGATGGTATCTCTCCCATTTGACAGATGGGAAAACTGAGTTTCAGTCGTGGAAACTCCATGTCTTATAGGCATCTCTAACTCCTTGACCAGAACTGCTGAAGTGTTGTGGGATGTAAGCAAAGTTAAATTCTGTGATTCTGAGAAGATATTGTGAGCAGAAAGAACCCTTTTCCCCATATCTCTGATCAGGAAACAGACAGCACTGGGACTTAACAAAGGCCTGATTCCAACTCACAACCAGCTACAGTGGCAACAGGCACTGGACTTTCTCTTACTTTGTAACTAAACTCAACCGTTTCTAGGTAGGTGTTTGGAGGTGTAAATCCTGGGATCTGGGGTGCAATGACCCTTCCTTCTGAATCCCTTTCACGGAGCTTTGACAAAGCTGGTTTCCTGTAAAGACATACGGGGATGGGAGCTGCATCCAGAAGCCCCTTCTGTAAGGCCGGGCCTGACAGAAAAACAGAGAATGATCAAACAGCAGACTCTAAACTCCACCTGAGGAGAGGGTGCCAAGGGTGCAATGGTTGGGGAACTTGAAAGGTGAACTACGAAGTGGTTCTGGGGAGAGTTTTGTTTCTTAGAAGATATTCAAAGGAATTTCTCGGCCAGTCGTGGTGCTCAGGCACTCAGAGCTTCTGGGACCGGTTTGGAGCTGTGAGACTCCCACTGCTGATGGGTTTGAGCCTTTCATTTCATTCCTTTGATGGTGAAAATGATATGTCCAAACTGAGACTCTTCCTGTGTTCCCCAAGAGAGCCCAGACACTGCCTTGAGTGGGGGTTTGCAAATGTGAAAACCTTGGGCTTAAACTTTAAGGATCCATTTTTGTTGTTTCAAGTAGAGGTGAAATTCACGTACCATAAAAATAATCTTTTTAAATAGTACATTTCAGTGGCATTCAGTACATTCCTATTGTTGTGCAACCACCATTTACATCTACTTCCGCAACATTTTCATCAGCCCCGGAGAAAACTCTCTGTCCAATAAGAGTCATTCCCTATTCCCCTTCCCTACAGTCCCTGGCAACCACCAATCTGCTTTCTGTCTCCATGGATTTACCGATTCTGCAGAGTTCATATAAATGGAATCACCTTGCGTGATCTTTTGTATCTGGCTTCTTTTATTCAGCATAATGTTTTCAAGGTTCATAAGCACTTCCTTCTTAGGCCTGAATACGATTCCACTGTATGTGTGCCTGTTGTTTATGTATTCACCAGTTGATGGGCATTTGGGTTATTTCTACCTTTGGACTAACGTGAATAGTGCTGCCGTAAACATTTGCGTTCAAGTTTTGGTTTGCATACTTTTTTTTTTCATACCTGGGAGTGGAGTTGCTGGGTCACGTGATAATTCTGTTTGACATTTTGAGAAACCATCAAACTGCTTTTCACAGCGGCTAAACTATTTTACATCTCACTAACAGTGTATGAGGATTCCAATTTTGCTACATCCTTTCAAATACTTATTTTCTTTTTATTGTAGCCATCTTAGTGGCATCTCATTGGTTTAGAGTTGCATTTTCCTAATGCAAATGACTAATGCTGTTGAGATCTTTTCAAGTGTTTGTTGGCCATTTGGATTTCTTCTTGGAGAAATGTCTGTTCAAATACTCTGCCCATTCTTAATAGCAGTCCGTCTCATCTTTCTCCCATGAAGTGGCTTCAAACTGCTGACCTTTCAGTTAGCAGCACAGCACTTAACCCATTGTGCCACCAAAACTTCTTGAAGGATCCTTTTAAACATAGATCACACAATGCCACTCAGTGAGTGCTTACACTGTGAAATTGTTGACTACAGATTAGTGAGTAAGCACGAGTAAGACCGAGCTTAGCTAGCTTATTGGTAATCATTCCCTGGGTGGACCTTCCTCCTACCTCTTCCCTCGCCTTTTGCTTGTCATGGGGATACCAACAACTGGCTATGCCAGCTGAGAGCCCCCAGACCTGGCCAGGACCACCAGCGTGCCTTGAGCTAGAAGCCAACTGGGGAAGTGGGCAGAGGGACCAACACTGGAAAATATGAGAAGATGATCTTGATTAAAATAAATTTGAAAAATAAAAATAAAACGGTTATGGAGCTTGTGGGACAGGAAGCCTTTAAAGTCAGAGTGTTCCCAACTCTAGAGTGAATATGACAGAAAACAAGAAATGGAACTAGACAAAGCGAGGTTTAGCCAGCTGCCAAGGTGGACCCTTGCCCGAAATGGGAGGAGAAGAGTGGGTAAGTTGTGAGGTTCCCGTCTAAGAAGCAGAATGGCTACTTCTTGCACCTCTCAGCTACCCCACCAAATAGTTCTGGTGTGGCACTGTAGGATAAGCACTGAACTGCTAACCATAAGATTGGCGGTTCAAGCCCACCAGCTGCTCCTTGGAAACCCTATACAGGGTCGCTAAGAGTTGGAATGAACTCAATGGCACTTAACAACAACAACAACCATTCAAAGGAATCATGTCTTAAGAGGACAAGCAGGTAGTCTGTAAATGGAGGCCACCTGGGCCAAGAGCGAGGTCTGGGGCCAGCCAGAAGGAGGTCAGCTGGAGCCACCTCTGGCTTCCAGCCTCACAGCCACCCAGAGCTGGTTGATAAGCAGGTGTGTCTTCCTTAACTTGTGTGGGGCGGAGCTTTCTGGGCAGAGGCTGGAGGTGATGCAGCTGTTTGGTTCAGTTTTCCTGTAACTCATGGTTCATTCAGAGCTTTCCTCACTACTCTTCCAGGGCTCAAAGGCGGGGAACGTGTGTTAGGGGCAGGGACTGCACATGCGCACACATGTACATGGGTTGATGAGTCTGGAGCCTGTGCGAGGAGTAAACGCAGTCCATTCAAACAGACTCAGAAGCTCCGACCCCATCAGGTCTCCAATGAGACGCCAAAGAGAAGAGAAGCCCACCCCTTCCCACCTTTCCTCAGTGGGAACTTGCCGAGGGGTTCTTCCCCTCCTGACAGCTACCATCTCCTGCAGAACTCTCCTTCAGGGTGTGGATGTGCGGTGGGAGCTTGGAGATTGTCCCCTGCAGCCGGGTGGGCCACGTCTTCAGGAAACGACACCCGTACAACTTCCCTGAGGGCAATGCCCTCACCTACATCAGGTAGGTCCTAGTGGAAAGAACACTGGAGTAGGGGCTGGGTCTCCTGGATTGTACAGCCCGGCTCTGCCAGTTACTCACCCCAAGTACTTTCACAGTGGAAGGGTGGAGGTGCAAATGCTGGCACTAAGTTTCTCTTGACTTTGGCCAGGAGAATCTTGGAAAACTGACCACATGACAGACTGGTCACTGCCCTCCACTCTTTGAGCCCCAACACTGACTTGATCAAGTATCCACCCTCCTACCTCCCACTGTCTCAAGGGAGATAGCAAGGGGTGAGTGGGAGCATCCCCTACTCACCTGGATGATTCGGAACCTGCTGAGTCCCACGCTTGTCTGCACAGAGTGTGGAGTAGCTTGAGTGGCAACTCCCACATCTAACTAACTAAACAGCCTACTGTTTTGTTTAGCTTCTCATTGCAACCCATTTTTATTATTTTTATAATTATAAAAGGAGTACATGCTCACTATAAAAACTAAAACTATTGAGATATGTTACATGTATGAGGGTACTTAAAAAAATTCATGGAAAAATTAAATTAAAAGATAATGGTTTAGAGTGGGAGAGAAATGTGGAACAAAACTTGAAATCATAAAGACCATGCTTCCTGGTTAGGTAGAGACTGGTGGATCTTCTGAGACTGTAACTGTTAGTCCCTCTTTAGGTCTGTAAATGAACTCACTCCTCTGACTTAATAGGGAGGTATGCACACCTTAGAATAATTCACCGTTTGTGATCAAGGGGACAGCATTTACCCTAGGACAAAGCTCAGAAGGGTTAGGAAAGAAGGAGAAATGGAAACAGGAAACACAAGGAGGAAGTGGGATAAGTAACATTACACTGTAGGGATTACAATCATTGAGATGAAACAAAATGTGTATGAATTGTTGGGTAGAAAACTGGTCTGTTTTGTAAGCTTCACCCAACTCACAATAAAAAGTTAAAAATGAAAATAAACAGTAGAAAAGAAAAAGAAAATGTCCATGAACTTTTTAAAGCCCTCTCATAATAGATACGGAGTCCTGGTGTGGTGCTGTGGGTTAATGTGCCAGACTGCAGAGCCGTTTGAACTGCAAGGTCAGTGGTTCAAGCTCACCAGCTGCTCCTCAAAAACCCTATACAGGGTCGCTATGGGTCGGAATCGACTCAACAGCACTTAACAACAACAACATATAGATACACATGTATGTACATATATTTTTACTCCTTACATTATGCATAAAGAATAAAAGTAAGTCTCCTTGACTCAGTCTTATCCCTTTTTATCTCGCTTGTCTTTTCCAGAAGTAACAACTGTAATAGATTGTTGCTACTCATGCCAAGCCTGTCAATTCATTTTCATATGTTTTTCATAGAGACAAATACACACACACCTATAGATTGGTGTGTTTGGGTTTTTATATTAATAGGATCAGGCTGTATGTATGCTTTTTCTGCAGCATGCTGCTTTTATGGTCAACATTATGTGTTCTGCCATGCTGATGCACACTAACCATCACATTCTTTTTCACGGCTGCCTAGTAGTCAACCATATGGAAGAACTTAATCTCCTCCTGATGGACATTACGTTATCTCTGATGCTTTGTTCAATTGCTATTCTTGTATTTATCCTTGTGCTCAGATGTGAGTGTTTTCTGTGACTAGATTCCTAGTAGTGAAGAGTAAGAGAATGTATATACCTACAAAATTGATGGGCCTGGACACATTGTTCTCCCGTGACTGGACTCATTTATACCACCCCAACCAGTATTGAATCATGAGATTCTCCTTACCTTGTACTGTACAGAGTTAATCTTGACCCTGTTGAGCCTCTGGTGACTTGATTTTGTACTTTTCTCTCCTTTTAGGAATACCAAGCGCACTGCAGAGGTGTGGATGGACGAATACAAGCAGTACTATTATGAGGCCCGACCCTCAGCCATCGGGAAAGCCTTTGGCAGGTGGGCCCCTACTTCCTTGTTGACCTGCTCCCACCTATGTTAACACAATCCGAACAAAATAGAAAATGATATGTAACAGGGAACTTCTTTGAATCTCTTCATGACTGAGTGTTGGGGTCTGCTGGGCTCTTGTGGGGTATACAACTCAGACACAGACCCTGGTCCCCAATAAGCATGCAACCTCATTGGGAAATGAAGACAGAGTTCTCTGGTGAAAGCTGTCTACCAGAAAAGGAGGGTCTGTGGGAGGGCCTAGGGAGAGACTGTCTACCCACTGTGGTCCAAATCTGAGAGTGATGTATCATGGGCTCTAGTCTAGTTAAGCAGTTCCAAAAGGAAGATGGGTTGTGAAATCCATCTAGTGGGCCATGACCAACATTAAGAAAAAGAGAGAGAAAGAAATAGAACACTAGAGATTAGATTTATAAAGAACAGAGTCGAAAATAGCAATGTTGATTGCAGTGAAAAATAAGCATTGTTTTGTGCAACTATAATTTCACTTGTGTGCACACCTCATATGTGGCGTATACTGGATCACAGTGAAGATTAATTAATTTTTACTTAAGACTGTGGGTAAGAAAGTTTGAAAAGCAGCATTATATACAAAGATCTTCTTGTATTTATTTATGTCTATCCTTTTTGTATGAATAGATAAATCACTGCATATTTCTTTTAATAGGAAATCAGCAATTACTGAACCCCTACCCACACCAGTGCCTACACTAGGCATTTTGTATCCTTTGATTAATGCATTTGACTCTCACAAAAACTGCCTTTTGAGGTAGATGACTAGGTCCCCATTTTACAGGAGGAGAAGCAGGCTCAGAGAGGTGATGAGGCAGGTCACCGTCAGTGTAGATAGACAACAAGAGGAGATGGAGCCACATGTATGCTTTCCCAAGTACATAGCAGCTAGTTCTTTGTGAAATTTCTGAAGGACATTTAAAGCTTCCCTTCCTTGTTGCTAGACCCTTTCTCCTAAAGTGGAATGCAAGCGAGGAAAGGGCAGTGGTAGTTGATGGGTTGGTGGTGGTTCGGTACTGTTGAGTCGGTTCTAACTCATAGCAACCCTGTCTAGGGCTTCCAAGGCTGTAAATCTTTACAGAAGCAGAACGCCTCATCTTTCTCCTGCAGAGTGACCAGTGCATTCGAACTGCTGACCTTGCAGATAGCAGCCCAACTAGTAACTCACTATGCTACCAGGGCTCCTGCAGGGAAGGACCACTTCCAGTTAATTAAGGCTCTGTTCTCTAAATATATGAGAACTAATTTATGGTATGCCAACTGAGGTCTCACCACCACTCAGCTATCAGTTTGTTGTGCTTTAGAGGTTTGTGTGTTACTGTGATGCTGGAAGCTATGCCACTAGTATTTTAAATACTAACAGAGTCACCATAGTGGACAGGTTTCAGTGGAGCTTTCAGACTAAGACAGACTAGGAAAAACAGTAGCTAAACTTGTGAATGTTTAGCTACTGAAAATCTTACAAATGTTGTTGTCAGGTGCCATGGAGTCAGAACCGACTTATAGCAACCCCATGCACAGCAGAACGAAACAATGTCCGATCCTGGGCCAATCTCACTACCGCTGCCACACTTGAGTCCATCAATGATGCCACCTGGCCAATCCATCTCGTTAGGGGTCTTACTCTTTTTCTCTGACCCTCCACCTTACCCAGCATGACATCCTTCTCCAGCAACTGTTCCCTCCGGACAATATGTCCAAAGTATGAGAGACGAAGCTTAGCCATCCATGCCTCCAAGGAGCACTCTGGCTGCACTTCTTCCAAAACAGATCTATTGGTTCTTTTGGCAGTCCACGGCACTTTCAGTATTCTCCTCCAACACCACAACTCAAAGGCATCAATTCTTCTACGATCTTCCTTATTCACTGTCCAGCTTTCGCATCCATATGAGGCTATTGAAAATACCATGGCTTGGGTCAGGCACACCTTAGTCCTCAAGCTGACCTCTCTGCTCTTCAATACTTTAAAAAGTTCCTGTGCAGCAGATTTGCCCAATGCAATATGTCGTCTGATCTCTTGACTGCTGCTTCCGCGAGTATTGATAGTTGATCCAAGAAGAATGAAGTCCTTGACAACTTCATTCTTTTCTCCATTGATAAGAATGTTGTTTATTGGTCCAGTGGTGAGGAATTTTGTTTTCTTGACATTGAGATGCAATCCATACCGAAGGCTGTACTCTTTGATCTTCATAAGTAAATGTTTCAAGTCCTCTTCACTTTCAGCAAACAAGGTTATATCATCTGCATATCACAGGTTGTTAATGAGTCTTCCTCCAATCCTGATGCCACGTTTTCCTTCATAGAACCCAGCTTCTCATATTATTTGCTCAGCATACAGGTTGAATAAGTATGGTGAAAGAACACAACCCTGTCGCACACCTTTCCCAATTTTAAAACATTCAGTGTTCCCATGCTGTGTTCGAGCAACTGCTTCTTGGTCCAGGTACAGATTTCTCAGAAGTACAATGAAGTGTTCTGGAATACTCATACTTCTCAATGTTGTCCATAGCTTATCATGATCCACACAATCGAAAGCCTTTGCGTAGTCAATAAAGCATAGGTAAACATCCTTCTGATAGTCTCTGCTTTCAGCCAAGATCCATCGTTCCACGGCCTCTTCTGAATCCAGCTTGAACCTCTGGAAGTTCCCTGTCAATGTATGATTGTAGCCGTTTCTATATTACCTTTAGAAAAACTTTACTCACTTAAGATATCAAAGAGATTGTCCAATGATTTCCACATTCTGTTGGGTCACCTCTCTTTGGAATGGGCACAAATATTGATCTCTTCCAATCAGTCAGCCAGATAGTCGTCTTCCAAATTTCTTGGCAGAGGTGAGTGAGTGCCTCTTGTGCCGCCTCATTTTTCTTGAAAGATTTCAATTTTTATTCCATCAATTCCTGGTGCCTTGTTCTTTGCCAATTCTTTCAATGCACTTTGGACTTCCTCCCTGAGTATCATTGGCTCTTGTTCATATGGTACCTCTTGAAATGGTTGAACATTAACCATTTCCTTTTGGTACAATGACTCTGTGTATTCCTTCCATCTTTTCGTTATTGAAAGATTCTCTGGGCAAATCTTACAAATAGCAGTGGAATATTATCAGATATAGTGCTGGAAGATGAGCCCCTCAGATTGGAAGTCACTCAAAATATGACTGGAGAAGAGCTGCCTCTTTAAATTTGAGTTGTTCACAATAACATGAATGAAGTAAAGCTTTTGGGACATATATTTGCTGATGGGGCACAACTCAAAATGAGGAGAAACATCTGCAAAGATTCATTGATAATCAGAACATGGAATGTACGAAGTATGAATCTAGGAAAATTGGAAGTAAAAAATCAAATAGAATGCATAAAGATCAGTATCCTATACTATATTGGTGAGCTGAAATTAATCTGTATTGGCCACTTTGAATCAGAAAAGCATATGATTTACTATGCCAGGAACAACAAATTGAAGAAGAATGTCACTATATTCATTGTCAAAAAAAACATTTCAGAAACTATCTTGAAGTACAATGCTATCTGTGACTGAATGATATCCATATCTCTACAAGGAAGACCAGTTAAGACAGCTATTATTCAAATGTATGCACCAACCACTAAAGTCAGTGATGATGAAATTGAAGAATTGTATCAACTTCTTCAGTCT